TGCCTCCATCTCAGCTGGTCAAACGCATTTTCATGAGGCAATCCCTGGTACAGAGGAGCAAACCTTCAGAACTCCGTTCTGAGAACAACTCAAGAGATATGAGGTTGTTCCATGACGCATACAACGATATACACCACGTTCTTACTTAAGGAGACGTTATTTCCTTGCCTGATTAGTTGTAAGAACTCTTCTCACTGACTACAAAACACACCTTAACCATCACGAGGCTGCAAAGTGACTGTGCAACGTTATTTGAATTCGGCCTCATCACGGTTTTTGGCAACACCAGTTCTAAGGATTTACCCTCAGCGGTAGCGGTGAGATGACACTGACACAAAATTGATGCTTATGAATGCATCCAATAGTCAGACCGATTTCTTGATGAATGATTTCTTGACGACGATTCATGACTGAGTGATAAAGCAACAGTGAGAGCTTCACAGAGTGGTATTTACTTGAATTTGAAGACTGAGAACAGCTTTTGCAACTGTAGATGAAGAGGAGTTTCAGACATTACAGATAAGATATATTGACTTCTGTAGACTATGAACGTTCAGTGTGTGACAATGTCCGAACAAATTATCAGAAGAAGAAAGAAAAAAAAATAAGATTTTATCGATTGTCGACAACCAACACAGTATGAAGAAGAATGGACATCTAAGTTTGAAATGGCATCAACAAAACTTAAATTGTATTTTACTCTGACCCTAGTCATCAAGAAATGTCAGTCCCATATTTTAGGTAGCATTTGAGATAAACGATGGATCCCGTAGGTTCGGCCAAATAGGAAGGTGAAGAGGCAGACAGCATTTCATGAACAGAACGGTTAGAAGGAAGAGCGAAGCAAGGATGATGTAGGGAGTTAAACAGGTTTAGGCGAGTGATTGGTTCTTCTTCTAATGAATTTATTTTACCTTCAGAACTTCGGGTTCCAAACTGCTCCTGGTTTTCTTTCAGTTGATTCTTTAACACATTTCGCGCATTGTTTATAGGTTCCCGACACTATTGTCGGTGCGGTATTGGGTCCGAAAGCGAAAACGCTGCAGGAAATACAGTTTTACAGTGGATGCAAAGTTCAGGTGTTCAAGAGGGATGCAAAGGCAGATTTACCAGTTGGAACAAGGCTTATCAGGTTTGCGTATGTTTTGAAGAGTTGTTGCTCAAATGAAATTTTATTAATTTCCGTTTGTCTTTTTTTCAGTTTGGCTGGCGATGAAAAAAATATGCATATGTGCAGATTGATGATAGAACGTGTGGTCAATGAAGCACAGGAGCGCAGGGTGGGGACTCGTTCCTAGAGAGAAACGGCCATCCTCATCGATCTCTCTAGCTCTCTGTCCACCGTCCACTCTCCCTAACTCTGTATACTCCCTACCATCATCATGCTGTCCGTTCTCCTTCTAACCGTTCTGTTCATGAAATGCTTTCTGCCTCTTCACCTTCCTATTTGGCCGAACCTACGGGATCCATCGTTTATCTCAAATGCTACCTAAAATATGGGGACTGACATTTCTTGATGACTAGGGTCAGAGTAAAATACAATTTAAGTTTTGTTGATGCCATTTCAAACTTAGATGTCCATTCTTCTTCATACTGTGTTGGTTGTCGACAATCGATAAAATCTTATTTTTGTTTTCTTTCTTCTTCTGATAATTTGTTCGGACATTGTCACACACTGAACGTTCATAGTCTACAGAAGTCAATATATCTTATCTGTAATGTCTGAAACTCCTCTTGATCTACAGTTGCAAAAGCTGTTCTCAGTCTTCAAATTCAAGTAAATACCACTCTGTGAAGCTCTCACTGTTGCTTTATCACTCAGTCATGAATCGTCGTCAAGAAATCATTCATCAAGAAATCGGTCTGACTACTGGATGCATTCATAAGCATCAATTTTGTGTCAGTGTCATCTCACCGCTACCGCTGAGGGTAAATCCTTAGAACTAGTGTTGCCAAAAACCGTGAATGAGGCCGAATTCAAATAACGTTGCACAGTCACCTTGCAGCCTCGTGATGGTTAAGGTGTGTTTTGTAGTCAGTGAGAAGAGTTCTTACAACTAATCAGGCAAGGAAATAACGTCTCCTTAAGTAAGAACGTGGTGTATATCGTTGTATGCGTCATGGAACAACCTCATATCTCCTGAGTTGTTCTCAGAACGGAGTCCTGAAGGTTTTGCTCCTTTGTACCAGGGATTGCCTTATGAAAATGCGTTTGACCAGTTGAGATGGAGGCAAGTTGTGACGAAAGAGTTTAGCGGTAGTGGTGGGAGGTCACCTGCAACAGGTGGGATCATTTTTTGTTGGATTTCTTTTTCTTGTTCCGAGAAAAATTGAACAGGCACCACGCTGCTTCATCATTGCTCCCTTATACGTGCCCGTATACATTAGAGAGCGGTTGAAAATTCCGAAGTTAGGCATCTCGATTTGAGCGAAATTTGCCCCAGCGCATTGGCATCAGCCATATTGTGAAGTTTCGGCGTGAATAACCAGTCTCGGAAAAGTCTATTGGTTCTCGAGATAGAAGTTTAAAGTAATAAGAAGTGAGGCAGTAGTGGTAGTAATAACAAGAAAAGAGGGGGGACTAACGTTCGTGGTAGTTTCACAAGAATGCTGGGTTGTGAACAAAACCAGGCGGGACGTTCGTGGTAGTGCTTCGCGTAATGAGAATGTATGGTGTGTTTTCTTAGACATTCTTAGACATCAAGAGAGAGAGGCGCAAAACTGAAATGACTTTCTTCAAAGCTGCACTATCAAAAAAATGCAATAAGGTTTGGGACGTGCAAGTTTTCATGTAGTTTAAGAGTTTATGCTCCGACGACAATCAGGTTTACCCTACACCTTAAAGGTTCACATTGTCATAAAGTGAACAAATGAAATTTCAGAGAAGTGCAATTTTTTTCAATGGTCATAACATTCTTCAGATGTGGCTTGGTGCTGAGAGGTAAGAAAATTAAAAAATTGATTTTATATGCTATCTAAAAAGTGCTGAGATTGTCTTGAAAGGTCATTTTTTGAGAATCATCTCTTTGGAAAATTTTTTTGGGCGCTAGTGAGGTGTTAACAAATAGTTGTTCAAAATTCGTAATTTCCCACAAATCCATTTTCCGTGTTTTGGTGAGTGTCATGGACAACTACGAGGTTTGAACTTTCCAATAATGTTATTCTGTCACAAAATCTTTCCAATTGGATATTTTTGAGCCTCGCGCTTCTGGAACTCCGCAGGTTTGTTTAAGGACAGAACAGCTGGAGAGTTTGTGTGTTCTAAGGAGGACATACATATAGAACCTGGCGTGCTGGTAGATCTAACCTTAGTCGTCTCGCCGTCATAGGTCACTGTGCAGCCCGGTTCCTCCCCTTTTGAGCCTGCGGTGCTGCTTTTTGAATTCCCTGGCAGACAATGATGGTCATGTCTAGGTCCTTGGGTAGCTCAGCAAATTCGCCGATATTTTTATGCGGTCTGAGTGAGAATGAGTAAAACATAATGTAAAGAAAATGACTGACAAACTTTATGCATAAGGTGCATGACTCATTCCTACGACAGATATAATGCGCTATTTCTGTCTGTGTATGTTTTTCCGTCTGTCACAAAGTGTGGTACTGCCCGGAGAACCACCTACGGAATCCGAGTCAAGTTTGGGATCGGTGGGGCGTGAGTCAAGTAGTACAAAACATACCAACCGCGCAAAGCTCCGCAAGGCTATACCAGCCGGGCGGAGCTCCGCCCGGCTGGTATGCTTCGTCATATTTCTCTGAATCGACAACTGCGTCGAAATTGACCACAGTTTCTGCAGTCGAAGAGTCATGACGGATATGGCGGTTGTCCCTTATTTCAACACGTGAGCGATTATCGTTTGCTGCGAGGGCGATTCCCTCTTTGACCGCTCAATGCGCCTGATGCGCATACGCTCTAGGCGGCCCTGCCCCACTGTGATGGACGAAGATGCGGTCGCGAGGCTTGCAAACGAAGAGCTGTATGAAATGGTGGATGACATCAACGCCGACTATCAGAACCTCGTTCAAATCGTAACAGACAGCTGCCGCAATGTTGCCCCCAACACAGTTACGCGTCGCATCTCTGCGTCTACTGCGCTCTACTCGAAAAGCGAAGAAATATGGATCGGCAAGAAAACCACGTGGAGTACACCTTGCTAAATAGATTATGTAGGCAACGCATTGCTGAAGATCACGCCAATTTCGCAAGGTCGAAACTTCTAGTTGAGGCAGAGAACAGGCGAAGTTTGAAAGAGGGCAAAAAGGAAAATTGCCGAGCATCGTCTCAAAATTCTATGCTTGAACACTGCAAATGGAACTCGTTGCTGCTCTATACCTGGAATGGAGGAAATCGCGGCAAGTCATACTCCGCCCTGTAAGAAGAGCTCCAGTCGCTAGGAAAGAGGATGAGTTTCTGGACTGGAAGCGCTGCTTTCTATCATCGAAGGTGCACATGCGATAGAAACATAGCTCGAGATAAGCGCCCGGAAGACGCATCACAGCAGAAACTACAGAACGTGCGGGACCCCTTGTATCTAGGCACTTCGAGGGTGGTACATTCGCCCTGGCGAATATGGCGGTTCCAAGCAGAGTCAACCCTGCGTTGCGCAGTTCTCAACGGCCACGTTGCGCAGTTTCGCCCGATTAGACACGTTCTCTCGCGCGAACATTCACACTCGCATGCTCGAGCCGTCTGCGTCTCCGCCCATACAGCGTGCGTTGAGGATCTCTCAACGTGCCGTTGCGAACTGCGCAACGCAGGGTTGACTCTGGTCCCAAGGGAGTGAAGCATCCTCGACGGTTCTGATGTTCGAAGGCGACAAAGGTATTCACACATGTATACTTGGCATGATCCGTATAAAAAGGTCGACCAATCGTAACTTGCCGACGCCTCATCGAAGCAGCCCGTGAGCACCGCCTTCCTCTTGTGATGACCTTCATTGATTACAAGAAGGCATTCGACTCGGTGGAGCCAGTGAAGGTCTGGGAGGCGCTGGAAGAGCAAGGTGTTGAAAGGATCTACGTGGATGTACTGCGAGAATGTTACTTTTAATGTACAACGGTGTTCCATCCGTTCTACAATGATGTTGTGGTAGCAGTTCAGAAGGGCGTACGGCAAGGTGATCCGATATCGCCAAATCTGTTTTCCGCTTGCCTAGAGCACGTCATACGTCGGCTGCGACTGGAGCAACTTTGGCATTAACATCGACGGTGTGCGTCTCAATCATTTGCTATTTGCCGACAACATCGTGTTGATAGAGACTTTCCAGAACGCGCTTCTGAGATGCTGCATGGTCTGGATGAGGAAGGGAGCCGCTACGGTTTCACCATCAATACCTCTAAGACGAAAATGATGTGAAACCATTCTCAGGCAGCGCTCCCATACTTGAAAGGGAAGTCCTATTGAAGACGCTGACGAGCATGTGTGTTTCTCGGGAGCCAGCTTAACATGGGAACGACCCGACTGGAGAGCTAGCAAGACGTCGCAAAACTGAATGGTCTGCATTTAACTCTAGAAAAGTAATAGAGGACACCAAGGACCGCAAACTCTGAGCGGACCTTTTCAACTCAACCGTGTTGCCTGCCCTCAGCTATGCAGGAGAAACCTGGGGGCACCAACTAAATCACTGAGGAGGCAATTAATATCCATTCAGATATCAATTGAATGCCGTCTTCTCTGGATCTGTCGTTGAGTCGCTGACGAGAGCTAAATGTTCAAAATTTCGATGTCAGAGCCGTGTCACAAGTAAAAGATGTTCTTCTTCACGTCGGTGAAGCGAAGCACAGAGATGGCGCCGGACATCTGATGGGGAGAGATGACGATGGAGTTTGGCTACCGTGCGAGTACTCCCGCGAAAAGAAAGAAACGGCCACAAGGCTGTCCTTCTTAACGATGGGGATTCTCTAGCTCATACGAAATACGTCTATGATCCAGAGCTTTTGGGGTGATCGCGCCCTGGACAACCATAGCGCATTATCGAGGACAATGGAAGAAATTGGACCCGCGCAAGGCCAGCCGCCGTGCTGATGGACGGGTCTTCTATGTATCTAAATAAGAAAGCCATTTACTTCTGTGAAACTTTCATTCACGTTTTTACGGCAATTGAAAACTGAACAGTGAGCTTAATTAAAGATGTCAGATTTCGAAAATTCATGCTAAGCGATAAATATATAACCAGTCTGTAGTTCAGGTCATTAGTACTTAGAATAGGAAAGAATCTGTAGGCTAGAGGAGGGATAAAGCCTCGCCATGTGCGAGCCAGAAGCAGACATCAGTGTGTGGAGGCACATTGTGTGCTCGTTGTCT